CCCCCCCCCCCCCCCCCCCCCCCTTCTCTTGGTGAAAGTATTATACAATACATTTCCGTTATATTGAACATGTTTTTGTACAGCTTGAAATATTTACCTGACTTCAGGATTGGTGGTTATGTTTCTAACAAGCTGCATACCACAGATGCCAACGGCCACACCAACCGTAGCAAAGAGAGGATACACCTGCATATGCATTCCAGGAAATCAAGTTTTGATTGGTAAAGTTGTTGATTTCTTCATGTTTTTCTCAGGAAGTAATGGAAAATGAATGGGAAAAGAGAGGGAGAGAGGGAACAACCTCAGGCTTCAGCCATGGCAATTGAGAGAAGAAAATGGGTGTTGTTGGGAAGGGGAACTAGAAGAAGAATGAAGAAAGGTGCAGCGGCGAAGGCACGTTTTGACGTGGGAATTTATAAGGAAAGGGAAAGGGAAAGACAGAAGGTTTGGAGAAGGGGAGGAGTTAGAAATTAGGGGCAGCCATAATAACCATAACCATAACCATCGCCTTCTAAGTTGCCCAACTTATTTCCTTCCTTATTGGCGTCTCATGCTTAGTCTTCTTTTTGTCTTCTTTTTGCTGCCTTTCACACCATCACAATTTCAAGGAGCTTTGAACATGGAAGCAGCCTAACATATTCTCATACGAAATACCCACTTAAATTCAACTATAATATCTTGGTCATTTATGGTCATAGAACGGTTCCTAATAGAGAATTAAAGATTTTATTTAAAGTTTCTCGGTTTTTTCTTATTTAATTTCGATTTTTTTTTCCTATTGGATAAAAGTGGTGTTAGGAAGGTGAGACTTTACTAGATCCATGATCATTTCTTAAATTTACCGTGTGAGACTCACTCCAATAATCCTCAACAATAAAATATTATATACCTTGTACATGCTTCATCGAAAAAAACCTGCAAAAGAGAGAAAAAATATTAAGGACCAAGTTCTTGGTCACACATGCTCCAATAGTTAAGTCGTCAAAGGATAATTGTTTAGTAAGTTCTAGATTTTAGAGAATAAGAAAAAAATTTAGATTTCAGATCTTCCTCTTGAACAAAGTCTAGAGAGGTTGAACTGAGCTAACAAAAAGAAATGTTTACTCCGACCTTGTCCTCCCTAGTTGAGGTCAAGACATGCTTTTGGGCTTTCGACCCAATTGGATCCTAGGATTATGAGTCGATTTTATCCTTGGCATTCCATTTTCTTGTTAGAATTCTCTCTTTTTAAGTCTAAAATTATCCATAACATAGTCTTATTCGAGGAGTGGGTGATTCAAATAATTGCGGAGATGGGAGTCGCATTTGAATACCTTTTTTCTTTCCTTTTTTCTTCCCTCTCATTTTTTGCTCTCTTGCCTCTACGGATATCAATCATCAAAACGTGGTCGGCTTTTGCAAAGTAATCATACACAATACAACCATAAACCTCAATCCTCCACCCTTCCCCTTTTTATCTTTTACCTTCTACTTCCTTTACTTCTTTCAATACCACTTCGTCTCGTATAAGTTTTCATTTATTGTAGTTCAATGAGTCGAGTGAATTATTTGAACCTACCTTTCGACCAACCATAAACATGTCTCGCATATATGACTTTTGAACTCTCGATAGAATAGATAAACCTTGCATCTAACCTCTCGATCAAAATATAATGTTGCCGGTCTTCTTTTAGTGTGCATTTTCTTTTCATCAACAAGACGTCCTTTCTCCTTTTCTTTTTGCATTTCCAATTCTTGTAAATGGCTGACCCACCCTCCTCCTCCTCCATTTGTCTCTGCTGAAACTAAATTAGCGTTCATCCCATTACCACTGCAAACAAGCTTCAGATTTCAAAACATCCATGAATGATTCACACCCAAAAGAAAACCCAACAAATCAAAGCCAAATTTTGATTTTAATTTCTAATGATGGATGATTTCTGGTAGCTGTCTGTTTGTCTATTCATCAACAGAGCCCCGTTGGACAGTTCAACCTCTCAATTTCTCACTTTCTTTTGTGTTTAATTTACTGCTCACTGTCACGAGGCAGCGTAATCTTGAAAGGCATTCGAGTGAGTGATCATGTTCCCAACTTTTCACTTCCCACCGAAATAAAGCCTCACCTTGTCATTTTGGTTCTTGTTTTTTTTTTTGTTAGTTTCTGTCTTTCTACACACTGCGAAATTCTCGTGTCTCCGTCATTTCTTAAGCTTCTTGGCTTCATTCGGCGAGATTTGGCACCATACTTTTCTCCTCCAAATGCTCCATTCCCTCTGTTTTTCCTATAATCTTCTTCTTCCTCTTGATGTTTATTTGAGTCTGATTCACTGATTCATATAGCCTTCCTCCATTACTTCCCTTTCGGTAAGGATTCCATATTTGTGCCTTTTTTTAGTGTTTCTCTGGAAATTTCACTTTCTGGGTCTGTTTCTGTTTCGATTTTACTTTTATCTCATAGATTTTTTGGTGGGTTTTGAGCAAAATGCCTCCCTTGTTTTTCCCTCTTCGGTGGGAGAGCACAGGGGAGCAATGGTGGTACGCTACGCCGATTGACTGGGCGGCGGCCAACGGGTTCTACGATGTCGTCAGAGAGCTTCTTCATTTAGACACCAATCTCCTCATCAAACTCACATCTCTCCGCCGAATCCGTCGCCTTGAAACTGTGTGGGATGACCAATCTCAGTTTGAAGATGTGGCAAAATGCCGGTCTTATGTAGCTAAAAAACTCCTCCTCGAAGGGGAACTGAAAGGGGGCAAAAGTTCTCTCATTCGTGCTGGCTATGGCGGCTGGCTTTTGTACACAGCTGCCTCAGCTGGGGATTTAGATTTTGTAATGGAACTGCTTGAGAAAGACCCTCTCCTGGTTTTTGGAGAAGGAGAGTACGGCATTACTGACATTTTTTATGCTGCAGCCAGGAGTAAGAACTGTGAGGTTTTTAGGCTTTTGCTGGATTTTGCTCTTTCTCTAAGGTGCAGGCCAAGCAGTGAAGATGGGACAATGGAGGAGGCATTGGATAAATGTGAGATGGAAATGTCTTTGGCTTTCAGATGGGAAATGATCAACAGGGCTATTCACTGTGCTGCTAGAGGAGGCAATTTGATGATGATGAGAGAGCTAATTGGGCACTGTCCTGATGTTCTGATTTACAGGGATGCTCAGGGATCCACCATTCTCCATACAGCTGCTGGAAGAGGACAGATTGAGGTCAGATCTTGGACTTGTATTCATGCTTCTTTTCCCGTCAGTTTCTTACATTTTCTGGAAATTTGTGTTTTCTTTTCGAACAGAGATCCGGAGAGAATAACGAAATATTATTTATAAGGGTGTGTAAACCTCTCCTAGCAAACGCCTTTTAAAAACCTTGAGAGAAAGTCCAAAAAATAACAATATCTGCTAGCGGTGGACTTGAACTATTGTATGAACGGTGTCTCTGATATAGATGTTGGCTTTCCTGTGTTTGAGTTTTTATCTCTTCTCCTGCTGACTTAGATTGTCTAGTTATGAAGAAACAAGTTTCTGAATTGCCTTTCTAGCTGACATGTTTTGCAGGTAGTGAAGAATCTTGTAGCTTCCTTTGATATCGTCTCAAACACTGATAGTCAAGGAAACACCTCATTGCATGTGGCTGCATACAGGGGTCACTTAGCTGTGGTGGAGTTTCTGATTCATGAATGCCCCTCCCTAACATCTATGTCAAACTACTATGGGGACACTTTTCTTCATCTGGCTGTGGCTGGTTTCAAAACCCCTGGCTTTAGAAGATTAGACAGGCAGATTGAGCTCATGGAGCATCTGATAAGCGATGAGTCGATGAATGTGCAAGAGATTATCAACATCAGGAACAATGATGGAAAAACCGCGCTTCATGTGGCGGTGACAGAGAATAACCAGTGTGACCTGGTAGAGCTGCTTATGTCTGTGCCATCAATAAACTTGAACATTACTGATGAAGATGGCTTGACCCCACTTGAACTCCTCAAACGACAGTCACCATCACCTGCTTTAGAGATTCTTATTAAACGATTCGTTTCGGCTGGAGGCGTCTCGAATCCAAGTGATTATATGGCAACAAATGCTTTCTTTTCACATTTGAAAATGCAGGGCATTGGAAGCAGTCCTGGAACTTCTTTCGGAATTCCAGATGCAGAGATATTCTTGTACACAGGTATTGAAAATGTGTCTGGTGTAACTCGTGATCAAGTAGACGAGGACATTGATTTACGCTCGAACGACAATTGCGAGTATGATTCAGTGGATTCATCAAACAAGAAGTCAATCTCTGTAAATCATACAGTGAAACGCCTGAAGTTCTTCCTGCGCTGGCCTAAGAGTAAAGAGAAAAGGTCAACCAGAACAGACTGGACAGATGATGATTGTTCAGGGCTGTTTGATATATCAAGAAATTCACAACCTAAACCAGTTTCACTTAGACATCAATACAAGAACATTTCATGCCTTCCACACAACAGAACACTTCCAGTTCCAGTCATGAACATTCCTCCAAGCCCATCAACCAAGAAAAGGTTTGCCGCTGGATTGATGCACGGCGTAATCCAAGCAACGCCAAATTTAGCAGTTCCAGCTAGGCAGCGTTCGAGTCCCTTTTCGTGTTCACCCATGTCTTCTCCAATGTCAAGGGAGGATTACCAAGAAACAACTGGATCTGGTGGAGTCTCTTGCTCCAACAGGAAAGCGCCAATCCCAAAATTCAGACAAGATTCCTTCAACAGAAAGATGTTGATGAACCAGTACTTCTGTTTCGGCGCACAAGGTCTCGCTGTGGAAGAACCAATCAGCTGCAAGAGAGCAAGTCAGAAGAACAAGCATTTTGGTTCTCTAGTAGCTTGATGTTAATGGACTGTACATAGAACTTGCATCAATAAGCAAAACACAAGTGAGAGCTTTTTCTGATTCTGGGTATTGATTGTATTACTCATTCATTCAGCTAAACTTAAAACAAGTCTCTCAAGTGTTTTGCCTCTTTCCTTTGTTTCATGGGGTTGAATTATATGTTCTCTTTATCCTCCAATCAATTCCATTCACATTTATGGTCCTCGACAAGAACTTAAAGAACCATATGAGAAAGTGATTCAATGGAATCTATTCCCCATCCCAAGGACAAGACAAAAGCGACCATAACTAATAAAAGGCTGTGAAAGCAAATGCTTGGCCATCTCCTTTTAATGGCTGGTTGGGCTCTCACTTCCTTTTGGTGAACGGAGAAAACAACTTTTTGTACCAACTCGAACTACAAGCTTCCTTTTTTCATGAATCTTGACGTGTGTGGTGTGACTTTTTATGTGATATATCACTAAAAATATTGTAGCTTTATATAGATTGATTTTTCTTTTTTTCTTTTTTTCTTTTTTTAATTTGATGAACGAATTTAGATTTATTCCAATTTCTATTTGAATAGTATATTTGTTCTTAAGATTTAAATTTGATTTTGATTTGGTATTTTGAAGTTTGAAATTGGTTTTTCAATGGCCATTGAGTATAATAATTTTTTTAAAAGAAAAAAAATCAAACTCATTAGAAAAATACATATCAATAAAGTACATTTAGCATATATTAAAAAGTTAACCATTTAGAACTAACTTCAGTGATTAAATTAAAAAAAAAAAAAAAAAAATCTAAATTAAAATATTTAAGATCAAAATGTGAGACCAAATAAAAATAGAGTAAAGTGTGTATTCATTGGGGGACTAGATAGAGAATCTACCGTCCATGCCTACAGCGGGACTTCTTCGCAAAGGTTGGTGGCTGAGAATAGGATTGTTGTATTTATTTATACTGAAAGTTGTCAATTAGCCCGCAGTCGTCACGTGAGCACAGTGGAACCAAATAATTGGTTCCTAATATTAAATACCTGACGATGACCTCTGCATAAAACGAAAAGGAAAAGGATGATATTAGCTGGCCAAATTGGAATGTTTGTCTCGACGCGGATAGGTAGTTTTATAGGGTTGTCGACCAAAAGCAAAGAAATAAACTGTTACGAAATAATATTTCAAGTGGTTGAACATGTTTTTTCACTCAAAAAGTATTTTAAATACTTGAATTTCGCAGAGAAAACTTCAACTACAATATTGTAATAGCAACTCGAAAAGGGAATCAGAAAACCATGGTAAAAGAGCATATGGTCATGTCTAGTAAGAAAATCCGCAGTTCCATGGCCACTGATTATACAAACTCTGAACTATCTTCCCTTACGAGCTTAGTTGCGCCAATTTCATACACGCCCCACCTACATAACCATCCCACCATCGATGGTGAAAACCTGCAGCAGAACAAACAAGCATGGGTGAAATGAAGAGGGAACTCTCACTTTGTAATTGTGTTAAGGAAAAAGTGATATTAGAGTACATAGCTAGAATTGTTGTTTAAAGAAAGCGAGAAAGAAGGAAATGGAAGTTTCTAGACCTGTCCTGTAATGTAACTAGCAGCAGGGTTAAGTGCCAAGAATTCAACAAGTCCAGCGACTTCTTCAGCTTGGCCATATCTTGCTGAAACAACAGGGAATTGAAAAAATCTTACTACGAATCGACAAAATCACAGTCAATCAATCAAATATGCGTTCCCCAGACTCACCCAAGGGGATGGTATCCAGGATTTTCTTCTCGATCTCTGGCCCAAGTTTGGCAGTCATGTCAGACGCAATAAACCCAGGAGCAACAGCGTTAACCTGGAACAATATTTCATTATGATGGTTCAGATTGCCCGCTAGCAGTCGGACATAAGAAATCATTCTTATTAAAGAAGTTGGAAATTGCAAACCCACGTTGATGTTTCTGCTGGCATATTCCTTTGCAACGGACTTTGTAAGACCAATCACCCCTGCCTTGGCAGCACTGTAGTTTGCTTGTCCAGCATTTCCAACGAGGCCAACTACTGAAGCTATATTGATTATTCTTCCCTGTATAAAACCTCTCAAAATGAGTAAGACATTTCCTCTCTCCCTTCTTGCTCTTTTAAGGGAGGGTTTGTAATTGGAGAGAAGAAAACATCTACGCTTCGGCCAAGATGCACAATGCCAACTCGAAGCTAAAATTAATTAGAGAATTGGAAATATATTTCTTAAAATATTTTGAGTGTCTTAAGTTCTATGGAGGCAATCGTAGCTTTTGCAGAAAATATTTATAGATATTATAAAGAAAGTTGAAAGGGCATTGCATCTGAAGTTACAGAAGAATTAAGCTCAGCTGCCTATTTCTAATTGGAAAATACAAGAGTGATTACTAAAGGTTACCTTCTTCTTTTTCATCATAACTTTCGATGCTGCCTGCCAAAAAGGAATAAACTCTACATCAAGAACGATACGCTTCAACCACAAACTTGTTGTAAAAGCAAAAGTTTCAATGCAATCATACCTGAGTGCAGAGATAAACACCAGTAAGATTCAGATCAATCACCTCCTGCCATTGAGATGTCTTCATTCTCATCAACAAACCATCACGAGTAATTCCTGATTTCCATGGAAGTATTTGTTAAAAGTAACAAAGTGAATCGGTCAGGAAGCTGGGGAATGTTAAAGAATTTATACACACCTGCATTGTTGATCAAAATATCAACAGTTCCCCAAGCATCGATCACCTGTACAAATGACAACCATGCAAGTGAGTACCAGGTAAATGCATAAACTAGTCAAGTCAGAAAAGGGAAGTAGCTTACTGTCTTAATCATTGAATTCACATCAGCCTCCTTTGACATATCTCCACCAAAAGTAAGAGCCTGCCCTCCAAAACCCTCAATCTGCAATTACAAGACAATTTAATCATCATCTTTTCAAAATGAATCATCAGGTAACCATCGTCAGCAGAAGAAATTGAGCGGCAATATTGCAGGTTTGGGAAATAGGACCCCTGCGCAATTGGATGTCCTAATATTATTCGTTGGCACTTTATTACGTTAGGAATAATAAGCTAAAAAGAACCCATGGCCGTATGCTTCAGAAATTAGAATGACCTTGAGGAGTAGCCAACCTAAACTGAAGGCTGGAGTAACATGATTTAAAAAATAAAAAAACTATTAAAAAAAAAAAAAAAAACGCTTGGTCAAATTAAATGATGCCTAGTCGTAAAAGAATTGTTTAGTGTAGTGAAATATTGAGAGCTTTGTGATGGGACTTGCAGAGTAAATAAGTATTAGGGCTTAATCAAATATATAGGTTCACTAATTTGTTAGTAAATAGGTATTGAGGATTGATTAGTAACAAGGTTAATTAATTTGTTATCAAAGAGTTGTCGCAAAAAGCTACCGAATTTAACCTTTTGCCCTTTAGTAAAGACAAATTTAGTCGTTCCTAGCCTTCGCATTTAAGAAATAAAAAAAAAACTGAGAACTTCACAAAACTATTTGGGTTGAATCTTGTTCCAAAATCAATAACTGCAATCATAAGAATTGAATGCAGATAGTCAAACCACTACGTAATCTAAGCTTTTTAATAATTGAACCTGAAATTGTAATATGTTTGAGTCATTGATGTAACCAGATTTTGCATCAATCTAATAACTGGGTGGAATTCCAAGTCGCTTCAGCATATTTTTCAGCGTTCTGCTTGATAAACAGTCTCCAGAGGTTCTATCAAGCTTTACAACATTTGCAGAATGGCCAAATGCAATTCGAGAGATGAGAACTGAAATGGGGGAATTACCTCTTTGGAAACTTCCTCAGCCTCCTTTGACGATCTAGCATAATTGACCAGGACCTACAAATTTATGTTTGATTGAAAATTCAGAATTAATATTTCCCACGGATTCAACGATACGGAAATTGACTGGACACTGATGTATACTGAAGACAAATCGTAAATAGGAAATACTTCAGCTTATGCAGCAAAAAATATAGAACTCCATAAAGTAACTGAATGCAAGGATGCGATAAGAGAATTTCCATATTGCATCTCTAAAGAGAATGCTAGCAGAAAAACTTCATCGAAGGAGGCAAGGATAATATTTTCAATACTTATTTATTCAACATTTTTAATCAGAAAAGTAATAGAACTATGTGCCCAAACAGAAAAGAGAGGTACCTTACAACCCGCCTTTCCCAAGCTCAATGCGATGGCTCTTCCAATTCCTCTCGAGGCTCCTGTCACAATAGCCACAGGCGCTTCCACCTGCTGGCCTTCCTTAGTGCTTACTTGTTCTTCAGTAGCAACCTGAGCTTTTATTCCTGCGTGTTCATTATGGAGATAAGATCGCCATTCCACAGGCATTGGCAAGAGTTTCTTAGGGGATTATCTTCCTAAAAGTAAAGGTGGTCTACATCAACGAATACTGATAACAGACAAACTCGAACAATTAAAAGCAGGATGATTAAGAGTTTTGAGACGCGCCAAGCAATGGCACTCACTCTCCATGACGAATCATGTAACCACCCTCTCTCGTCTCACTTCTTGTCGCTCAAGCAAACACGTATAGAACAAATCACAATACAATGTAAGCAGTCGTACCTGTAGAAGTAAAAGAGCTCTTCGATCTTAGCTGGAGGCCAAAGCAACCTCGAAGCTGATTCGATCCAGCTCCGCCAGAAATCGGAGACCATTGCTGAACAGAACTGGCTCTCCGATCAACGCCGCCTTCAAATTTTCCAACAATTCCAAACTTAGTAAAAGAAACAGCGTTCGAACCGGTAATAGCCGCCATGAAAGCTCCGGGAGGTCTCCACACACAGAAAAACGCAGAAGCAGAACGAAATCGCGAAATTGCAGCCAGAAATGAAAGCAGCGAACGGATTCGGTTCTTGTGAAGATGAAAGAATGAGTAAGTGAATACCTCGTGTTACGGATTTGGGATCTCCGGAGGAAAGGTGAAAGCGATGGAGTGGTGATGAAACCAAAGTGAGAGCAAGTCAGTGGAGGAACTATGCGCAGAAGAACTAGCTTTGGAACAGCTCGAGTTTGGATGGAGGGTAAAAAAATGTTTTGGTGATCGGTAAAATGGTAATTGTGTGATTTTTGCGCGCCGTGTACTTCGGAACGTGAGAGTGCCCTCCACCAACCCCAACCATTACCCAACCTAAACAAAACCATTTTCCCTAATTTGCTGTTCTAAGTGGAGAACCTTTTTTTTTTTTTTCTTTTTTCTTTTACAATTTGGTCGAGGTTTAAAAATATATAGTTTAATTCAAAATAAGTAAAATTGTATAAGTGTTTATTCAATTTTTTAAAACTCATCTTGTTAAAATTGTAAGCATTCGATTAAATTAATCCTGAAACTGAACTCCATATAACTGCATTCTGTAAATGTTAGAATTCAGAAAGCTGTATTTCAAAGCCACAAAATACAACCTATTTAACTTTAAACAAAATCTTATATTGTATTTTATAAATTCACCAAGGATTTTGATGATGGCACTGTCTTCTTCTTAAGAATATTGAATTTGTATTCTATTCTACGTCATTAAATGAATGATTAAATGAATAATTTAGGCTATAACAATTTAATTGATACTGTGAAAAATAACATAGAGACCGCAGAATAAAGTTAAAAAGTAAATAAAATTGTTTTAAAAAGGGTAAATATAAACTTTGATTTTCAAAAATATATAAAATAAGGTCACAAAATCTCATGAATCAAGATGGAAATCGATATTCCCAAGAACATTGAAGAATCTGTACCATTCTTCTTCTTCTTTTCCTTTTTTGAAGTCTACATAAAGGAAAGAACAGGGGCATAAGATCTTCATTCAAGAGGGTGTTTTCACTTGTTTAGAACCTTTTTGTGCTGGTTTTTTGGAGTTGTTCTTCCGGCGTATCTTCACTAAAGCTCTGTCCAATTCCTACACAAGGAAGGGAGTAAGACATTAGTTAAGGGAGTTCGATCTTACTCTTGTTTGGTTCAGGCTCTTCAGTGAATTTTTTTTTTTTTTTTTTTTTTTGCAGTAATCAGCAAAATGCTTCCAAAAAAGGTACAATATCCCTGGTCCTGGTCTCCCACATACTAATAGGAACGAAGCTCAGAGTATGTTTAGAAGTGATTTAAGATGATTAAAATCACTTTAGCCATCTTAAACATCTCTCAAACACGTCTTTAATTATTCGTTTACTCTTACATTTTCAAAAGCAATTTTCACACATCACTTTAATGTTTAGTCTTACTTAACTCGATTCTAAATTGTGACAGTCTGTTTATAAATTCCTACGATTCTCTTTCTGGGTAAAAAAAAAAAAAACCGAGCTTTCATCGAGTAAGGAGCGAAATCCTTATGATAACTCCGCCTAGTCTAGTACTAAGATCAAATAACTCTTACTGTCACTGAATCTGCAACCTTGATCTCCCTATATTTTGATTTAGCCCAAGCCACAGCCGGGGCTCAAATAAACTAAAAAGAGGAGATCCAGTCAAGACCATCCTCAAATGGTAAAAATACTTTTAAAAACATTTTTTTAAAAGGTTTCAACGGTCAATCTTGAATTTTCTTAATTAATATTGTAAGTTTTTACACTTTTTATTCAAATATATTATTTTGAAACTTTTCACATTCAAGCATGATTTAGCACTTCATCACAAACGTAGCTAAAATGTAGACTACCAACCACAATCTTGTCTGTGCCTCTAAAACGAAATTACCAGGATACATTCGTCCCCTCTAAGTTAGCCTACCTACCGATTCAACCACCTATCTGAGGCTTAAAATGCAGATGTACCACAAGAAAAGATAACTCATGTTCCTAAGATTTTAACTTCTAAATAGAAGGTTGAAAAGAAGCACAAAAAGAAAAAAAAAATGACGCTCTTCCCCTCTGTTTTTCTATGAAGTGCAAAAGCAACAAGAATCACCTGAGAAGAATCATCTTGCGGTGTATCAGTGGACCAAAGGCTCTCCAGATTGTAATAAGTTCTGGCCTTCTCATCCAGGGCGTGAACAACTACTTTACCTGAGATAAATTATTATTGATAAGTTTTTTTTAAGTACGACAAATGTAAGGCATGAAGATTTGAACATGTGGTCTCAATTATCCTTAAGCTAAGCTCATGTTGACTGCTACAAGATAGATGATAAGCGCAATCAGGAGAAAACATTAAGAATACAGACATTATGAACTATTCAAAAGACATAGCAACAATTTTCATTTGCATTATCATTTCTAGAAAAGCTTGTGGACGAATGACTAGTTTGACGAACAATAACTAATTTGAGACGTTGCATCATAGTATAAACTCTGTTGCAATGCCGCGTATAGAGAGCTAAGATGCAGAAGAATCGACACTCAAAAACGTGTGGATCGAATTAGTTCGTAGTATTTTGTTTATGAGTAGGCTAGAAAAACAGTGACAGCTGATTTATCTGCAAGAAAATTTTCTATGAGTTCAAGAACAAGAATAAGAACATGTATGGTAGTCATTAAATAGAGTAGCACGGACCAGAGTCGATGACAATCCACTTTCCGTCCTCCTGCCCTTCCACACTGGGGAGTACTAACTGTCTAGCACCTTTCTGCTTTTGCTTGACCTGTCGATTCAAACAAAACGTGATCACATATTAAGCCACAATAATCAGAAACATCTCTTCTTCGAATTCATCTGCTCGGGAATCTAATTGGAACATCCGAACAAAGAAACCAGAAAGAAATGTAGAAGAAGAAACATACCTTGTAAATTAGGGCTTGAGCAATGTTCTTGACATGCCAGGTAGACCTACCAGTGGCGAACACCATGTAATCAGCCCAATCACAGTCTTTACGGACTGGTATCACTCTCACATCGTCTGCCTTTACGTTATTCAGAATCGTCTCGACCTCCTGAAGATCGAGTAAACCTTCGTTGATAGAGCTAGCGGTGGAGGAAGATAGAGTATGGTTGCGAACAGAAACTCCTCTATTCCATAGCTGCAGACAACGAATCGTGGAAGAGATAGCAGATGAAGATCGAATTCTTTGCGCCGCCAACATGTGAGCTCTCCGTTGCGGTGAATCCCGGTTCCCGCCGTGAAATTAAGTTGCCGTCGTCTTCGAAATGAAAGCCGAAAATTTCCGACTACAGCGACGAGTTTATTGCTTGGTCTGTGGACCAGCCCAACTTGCAGTGCTGGGCTATTTTCAATGGCCTCTTTTAATTATTATTTATTTTTATTTTTTTTTAGCTTTTTTAATGTCTCAATTTTTCAATATTGGTAAAATAAGTAAAATAAATAAATAAATAAACTTTCAATTTTTTAACTTTAAAAAATACATGATACTCTGTGTCTAATAAACTATTTTGACCCGTTTAAATTTTTAAAAATAATATTATATTATATACAAAATTAAACTATATTAGTTTTTTGTATAGGATTAAATTTATTTATTAATTAATTCTGTAGTCTAATACTTCATCGATTAATTTATATTTTTAATATTTACTTTTACTATTTTCTTGAGAAAAAAAATGGTTGATTTAATTAATTGTTCTTATTTTTAAAATAGTTAAAGGTTTTGTCCTTTTTATTAGTACAAATAATACAAATATATGGTACATCCATTTGGTGATATTTATATAAAAAAATTAATTGATCATTTACTTCTGGGAAGTATAAAAGACATGAATGTAAATAATATCCAACTTTAGTGAAATATTCGTTAATCATGCTCCACTTGTACTAATCATTGATATGTCGCCCTAAATTATTGATTAAACATTATTTTATAGACACAATTATCCAACCAAACATATAATTTAATTAAATATATACACTAAACAGCATGTCATTAACAAAAATCCGGTCAAGGCCCGAAGGACACATAATTATTGTTATATATAAATGTAATAACTTCTAAAAAGAAGAAATACACTATACAATAATATTTATGTTCACCATTTTATTGTTTTAAATAAATAATAATTACTTCAGTAAAAATTAAATGCATTGCATAATTAATTAGAGGATCCGATGGAAAATCTACTTTTTGTACTTTTAACCTCGCCTTTTTACCTAATCCCACAAAATGCACGCTGATGCACTGACTCTCAAGAGTCCAGTGTCAACGGGCAGAAACGGGCCACACGTGTGAACGGAAAAAGGCGGGGGATATGTCGCGTTCCGTTGCCCGAGGGGACATTGTAAATCTTTTTTTTTTTTTTTTTTCCTTTTTTCTAGACGGGTTTTTAAAAATATAAAATAATATTTATTAATAGATAAAATTCGTCACATTTGAGGTTGTAGAGTGGCCGTCGTTGTTTCTGTACCCAATTGTTTGAACTGTCTTTTCATTGCATTTATGACGTCTTAACTCTCCACTTCCAGTAGGTATTTCCCAATTATAATTTCCAATTTTCTTTGTTTTTTTTTTTCTCTTTTCTCTTTAAACTTTTGTTGTAATTATTTTACAATAAAATCAAATAATTATTTTACAATAAACTATAAGCTAAATATTGATATTAAATCATATAATTAATTCGCACAAAATTAACATGAAGGTACCATTTTATAATTGTCCCATCCACCAACATCATCATTGCTACACATTCATTTGGTACAATGTGAAATGAACGATATTATTTGAATATTGTAAATTGGGATGGTAGAGAGGGGGAGAGTAAAACAAAACAATAAAATAAAATAAATATAAATCCTTCAAATACATGAAAAATGAAATAAAATAATTTTAAAAAAGGGAGAAAAACGTCAAACGAGCATTAAAATATACTTATGTGATGTTAGATGGGAAAGCAACAGTTGGATGATGATTACAATAAAAATCTTTACTGCAAGTCTCGAGTGAGCACCTACCAATTAAAACGACATCATTTTGCACTTTTATATGCATATATATATATATACCTATTTCTATTTGTTGCAATTTTTAATTCAATTTAATTGGTTTTAAATTTTTTATTTGCAGCTAACAGATTAGTTGTCTATCCTAATTTAGTTGCTAGGTTGACCCATATTAGCTCCCTAATCCCTTTCCAAACCCCACTTCCCCCAACCTTCAATTGGTTAATTAAATTTTAGTTTTAAACTTTATTTAATGGACTTCCCATTTTTATATATATATATATTGTTTATGCGGTTGATGAAACATATTATTGATGTCAACTAACGACTAAAGTATTATTTTTAATTAAAAAAATTAAGCTTGAATCTAAACTCCCACATATATTACGACATTTTAAATAGAAATAATTAAAAAAATAAAGTGTCTGGTTTAATTACCTTTTTAAGTTAGAAAAGTATATAATTAAATTATTGTAAAATGAGGAAATCCATAATGGTACAGTTATAGCTTAGTGCATCATTTTCATTTGATGAAAATTACAATATTAACCTTTAAAATTTTTGAAAATAGAAGGTAGGCATAATTTCAATAATTATTGAAAAAAATGTAAGGTGGGATATTATATTATTTAATTATTTAATTATTTATATTTGAGAAACGAGATTTTCTATTTTGTAATTATAAAATACAATAATTTGATATGAAAAGCCACGAATAAATCATGTCATTTCATAAGGTGGCTGGAAAAAAAAAATAATTTTTTTATAAAGTGGAGATGGATTGAAATTAAAGCCTTGCTGCCAATTATAAAGTGCAACGGAATTATTACTTTCCAAGGTGGAAATAAAATGTAAAGGGAAACTAAACCCCCACCACCCAGAGATTTATGTAAAAAATGGTGAACATGTATTTTTTGGTAAATTATTATTATTGAGATAAAATAAAGTTGAAAGGACCGGTAATTATTTTTAGGTGTAGCAATTATTTATATATATATATTTTTTTTGTGTAGAATAAAAAACGTTAATAGAGATAATTTCATATGGATAAATTGCAAAAGCAAAACTATATTATATAAATTTTATTTCAATGTATAGTTTTTAGGGAGAGGGATGTTGGAAATCTAGAACGAGTGGCATTATCGTAAAAATGGAGAATTCGGGAAAAAAGACGAAGTAAGGGGGAGAAAAAGAAAAGAAAAGAAAAAAAAAAGAAAAAAAAAAGAAAATGTCGCAGCAGCAAAAAGAGGAACTGAGGAAGCGAAAGGAAAACGAAAGCTTGCAGCCGGGGAAAGAAGCTAATCTAAACGAGATTACAGAGGTTAGTTACTTGCCATAGTTTTCACTCTCTACTCTCTCCAGTTATTTTCGTAGTTCCTGAGAGAATGTTGTAAATTTATTTTAAGCATCGTTGATTCATGGCCGATCTCTATCTTCTCCGATCTATATCGTCACCAACGCTGTAGATCTGGGCGTTAGCAGTCCGTATATTTACCAATTGCCTTCTCAGCTTCACAGGGCTGATTTTGAGATCTTAGACTCAGCTAGCTGCCTACTTCACTATCTTCATCTACTTTTTAACCTGGAGAAATTCAGTAAGTCGTCCACTTCCGGTTTCTATTTCAGACGAAGAATTATGGCTTATAATCCTAACTTCATTTGTTTTTTGTTGGGTATAGAGGGTGGATTTTGAGTAACTATTGCTTTATACTTTGCTGCTGTTAATGCCGGGATCTTTTTATCGAGACTAGGGTTTAAAGGTCTCATTACATGGCAAGGATCTGAAATTGTTGGCTTATCAACTGGGCTTTGAATTCCGATGCTTGGGTGTTTTGTGTTTTGTGTTAATTTTTGACCTCCACGCATTTTTTAATGTATGCATTCGAGCATTTGTCCGGGAAGATTTGGTCTCTGTTTGACTTGGACGGTCCGGGTGGAATTAAGTTAATTACTTGTATTTAAGACGATGGGTATTCGTTGCTTGTTTGGATGGAACATTTAATCGGCTAACAATAAACACGTTTTCCTTGACTGCGCAGGAAATATCATATGTTGCTGATTTAGGTAATTGATTGTCGTTCTTTGAGCCATGTGGATAAGTTGAAGTAGCAAGGTTAGGCCGCTGTTGGGTGGATTATCATGCCTCCTTCTCCAGCATTGCGGAGCTCTCCTGGTAGTGAGCCCAGAGGCAGCAATCATAAGCGAGGCCACAGCTTTGAGAGTGGTGCGCGCATAAGAGAGAAAGATGACGACCTGGCTTTGTTCAATGAAATGCAGACTCGAGAAAGAGATGATTTCCTGCTTCAGTCCGCAGAGGACTTCGAGGACTCATTTTGTAATTACAGGCTATATTTTATTATATAAGCATTTTGTTCTGCCAAATGTTTGGCTTTCAATCGTGCACCCTTCATAAACTATTCAATTGTTTCTGCAGCTACAAAATTGAGGCACTTTCCAGATTTGAAGCTTGGTATCTCGGTTCCTGTTCGTGGAGAGAATAGTGACATGCTTATTAATGCAGAAACGGATAAAAACGACTATGACTGGTTAGTGGCCTTATTCCTGCTTTTGGCTATAATTTCAAGACCCCTTGTATGTCTATATGTTTGGTCCATATAAATTCTTACTAATTTATTTCTGTGGCGGATTACCCATTTACTTTTTGCCAAACTTGCTTGTAAGAATTTTTTGATGGTTGAAAGAGTACTCATTTAACGGTAGACTGTTGCTACTTATTTATCATATTGTTGTTTGAAGCTAAAGGATCGATCCCTTGTTCTCACAAATTATTCTGTATTATAAATTTCAAGGTTGTTAACACCTCCCGACACCCCCCTATTCCCCTCATTGGACGATGAGCCACCTCCAGTTACTATTGCTAGCAGGGGGCGACCTCGTAGCCAACCCATTTCCATATCAAGATCATCCACGGTATGTGTGATTAAACTGTTTGTATGGTATATAATTGTGTCGTGATCATGTTGGATACAGTCTCTAGACGGTGTTTTTACAAGTGAGCTATTTGATGTTCTATACTTCCTTTGTTGAAACACTGAAGCGTATTGTTTTTATAGATGGAAAAAAGTCACAGAAGCAGTGCGAGTAGGGGTAGTCCAAGTCCTAATCGTTTAAGCCCATCTCCCAGGTCAGCAAACAATGTGCCTCAATTGCGAGGAAGGCAACTGTCAGCCCCACATTCCAGCCCAACTCCGAGTCTACGTCATGCTACACCATCCAGAAGATCAACTACCCCTACAAGAAGATCTTCACCTCCTCCAAGTATGCCATC